ACACACCTTTAATCCCAGCACTTGGGAGGCAGAGGCAGGTGGATCTTTGTGAGTTTGAGGCTAGCCTGGTCTACACAGTGAGTTCCAGGACAGCTGGGGCTACAAGGAGACCCTGTCTCAAAAAGACAAAAAAAATTGAGTTTTTGCAAATTTCATACAATATATTTTGATCATATTTAGATTCCTTCCCCTATCTGTACCCCCCTTATTAAAACCCACCTCTTGCTACCCTCCACCCAAATATTCATTTATATGTATGTATGTATGTATGTATGTATGTAGCCAAATTTCTATCCCCAAATGTCCTTAAGTGTAGGTTCATCCACTGGAGCCTGGTTTACCTGCCAAGAGACACACTGTTAAAAGAGACTGACTCTCCCCCTCCCAGCAGCCATTGCTTCCAATAGTTCCTTAGGTGGGGGTGGAGTTTCTTTCCTACTTCCCCAGGTTTATGCTGGGATTTTTTCTGACTTGAGCTTATGTGGGACTTGTGCATGCTGTCACCTTAACTGTGAGTTAAGGTGACATATGAGTAACTTCCTAGCTCTCTGGAAAAAGCTGTTTCCTTATTGATGATTTGACTAGCATTCCATCCCAGTTACCGTGTTGTGTACACATGCCTGCATGCATTTGTGAGCTAAGAACATTTAAGATCTGCTCCCTTAGAAAACTATTTATACATACTATAGATAATATATAATATTAATTATAAGTATAATACCACACATTAGATTTTTAAAATAAATTCTTGGAGTATAATATATAACACAGAGTATTGCTTTTAGAAAATTCTTCTCTCTGTCTCTCTGTCTCTGTCTCTGTCTCTCTCTTTTCCTCTTTTTCTTCCTGGTGTCTGAACCCAGGCCACTGTATATAAGAAGCAATTAACCTCTGACTAAGGTACATTCCAGCCCTTTTACTTTATTTTTAAAATTTGAGGCAGTGTTTCAAAATAGGTTTGTCAAGTGTACCTTGAAATTGTGTTCTGCTTTGGCTAAGAGTGTAGCTGGACTTATAAGCATACACCATCAGGCACCGATTCTTTCTTATAATAGCATTCACATTATAAATTCCCTAGAAGCACCATTTAACTGCATCACTCAGATTTAATGTATTAAAGCCTTCATTCTTTCAGTTTGAAGTATTTTGTAACACTATTTATTATAATTTATCATCATTGTTTTTGTTATTATTGTCCTACTTGTGAAGAAATATTTTGATTGCTAAACTCTGAAGTATTTCCTACAAGTAATAGCTTTATTTCTTTAGTTCTTCTCCTTAGGTTATTTAACAACTTCACACTAAACAAATTAAAAATATCGAGAAGATTTTGTGATTTCAGTTTAAATCAAAAGAGCTGTGCTAGATGATGAAATAGCACTCTGGGATCAGAACAATATTTATTTTAGGTTCACAGATAAAGGGGTTAAGAATGGCAGGGAAATGAACAGAATATTTCTTCAAGTGTTTTCATTACCTGACCATTTTCAACTTGCGCTCTGTTCCTTGTCAACAGTTCTCACAGTAAGTGCTTTCTCCTTCTATCCCTTTTGTGTTTCTTTACTCTTTATATTGAAGGAAAATGAGTGTTAAAACTATACAGCTTGGGAGATGGCTCAGTTGATTAAGTGTTTGCTGAAAATCATGAAAACTGTGTCTTGATTCCTAACAGGGATGAAAAGCCCTGACAGGAGTGGGACTTCCTGTATTCCCAGTACTTGGTAGGCAGAAACAGGGGTTCCCTAGGGCAAGCTGGCTACCTAGACTACTTAAAGTCGGTGAGCTCTGGGTCAATGAGGGACCCAGCCTCAATAAATATAGAGGAGAGAGATTAAGGAAGATACCCAGTGTCAACTTCAGGCCTCCACAGGCCATGTACACACAAGTGCATATGTACCCACATACATGTATGCCCACACATGCATACATGAAAGCATAGTACACACATGTACATATGCAAAAATTATCAGTATACAATCTAAACTCTTTACATTTTTGTACAAATATTCCTTTTGAAGTCAGTTTGCATCCATAGGTCCTCTATCCTGTCCTTTCAATGCCTTATGGAGCTGCTAAATGATATGGCAAGAAATACCCATGACCATTGGTCCTTGTTTCCAGTTCTTTATATACAGTTCCTAAAACCTTTCCTTTTTCACTGGTAGGGATTAAACCCAGGACTTCACTCATGCTGGAAAAGCACTTGGTTGCTGAACTGCACTCCTGATCCCTTACAATGTATTTTGATCACATCAGACTGCAGTTCCACCTCTTCTCCACTATCACCCCTCAACTTCATGTCTTCATTATTATCTATTCCTTACTATTTTTATTTTGTTTTGTTTTTTTGAAGGCCTGTTGAATCCAATCCATGCCTACCAAGTTCTCCTTGGTGTGTGTGTCCATCCCTAAAATTCTTTGCATATGGTGGTAGGAAAATGTTTTGTTGCAATGTTTGAAGATCCTAATATAGAAAGCCTAAGATATTTGTAATTTTCTGAGTGACAAGAATTTCTGGCACAGAGCTACAAAATCCTTTGGACTATCTTTGGTGAATGGAAGAACTCTACTCTTGACTTGCTTATGACTCTTTCTCTCTCTCTCTCTCTCTCTCTCTCTCTCTCTCTCTCTCTCTCAGATTCTGTATTTCTGCTTCTCTCCCTTCCTCTCTCATGTCATATGCATTCTGGCACCCTCTATTTTTCCCCAAGTTAATCTTCCTTTAAGACCTCTTTTCCCTCTCTCATGGCTTCCTTTCTACTTGCATTACCTACACATCTCATACATCTGGGCACATGTATAAAAATTGAAAACTAAGACCCACATATGGTATTTGTCTTTCAAGTTTGGGGATAATTTTCTTAAAATAATAAATTTCAACTCCATTTTTCCTGCAAATATCATTATTTTACTTTTTTACAGCTGAATAAAACTTTATTGTATATGTATATCATGGTTTCATTGTCTGTTCATCAACCATATGGATGTCTGCTGGGGACTCGAACCCCTGACCCCCGGTGAGGTGAGGATTGGGGATGAGTAAGCATGCCGTTCACCAGCCCATGCCCACCCCCATTACCTGAGGACATTCAGACGCAACAGGGAGTCTTAGTCAGGCAGAGACTCATTTATTGCAGGTGTTACAAAGTTTATAAAGGCATCTGGAAATCCCCACTCCCCCCACAAGGGTGTATCTTAAGGATGGTCAGGCACTGATGATGCACTCCTCAGCAGTGCGGAAGTATTCTTCAGACTTTCAAAGCAAGCCAGGCCGCACCCCCAGTAACTTCCTTTCGGACCTGTGCAAGGTGGGGCCTTTAGGTCCCCACAGATGTCTAGGCTGCTTATATTTCCTAGGGGCTGTGAATAGAGCAACAATAAAATAGATATGTGAGTATTTCTATGGAAGGATTTGGAGTCCTTTGGGTGTCCTGGAGTGATAACATAGGTAGTTCTCTTTAAATTTTTTTTTTTTTTTTATGAAACCTACATACTGATATCCACAGTGGCTTTACAAATTTGCAACCCTACCAGCAGCGAATAAAGATTACTTCTTACACACTCATGTATTATTATTATTATTATTATTATTATTATTATATTGCTATTTTGATGATAGCCACTTTGACTGAGATGGGATAGAATCTTTTTTTTTAAATTATTTATTTAATAAACATAATTAGAAGAAACATTTCTCATTACAGCATTAACATATTCAATAAAAATTTCCAGAGCAAAGATGCATCTCTTTCAAAATTGGCTATAAATTTTTAGAGTCACAGTTGAATTAATACAGTTATACAATATTGAATTCAGTAAAAACCCTCTAAGATAAAATTCAATGAGCTCATTTTTAATGCAACTAACACACAGATGTTTGCACATGAGTCTCTAATCTCTATATATCTTATTATTACTAGTCACAGTCAATTACTTTTTTTTAAAATTATTTAATAACCACATGATTAGAAGCATTTCATTACAGCATTAACATATTCAATAACAATTTGATGGGATAGAATCTTAAAGCATTTTTAATTTGCATTTCCCTGAGATCTTGGGTTCCTGACAATCATATGATTGGTCTATTTGCCAGAAATCAAAGTATGTGACTCTAGATTTGAAACTCTTACCCCTTTATAGGTAGGGAAGATAGCTGGATGACTGATTTAACCGAGAATGACCAATGATTTCATAAACATTGCCTTAATCCTGAAGGAGCATGATGTGAAGAGCTTTTGGATGGGTTTATACTTGGTGGTTATCCTACCTGGAGTGGGGATGGAAATTTCCTACCCCTTCACACACACTTTGTGATATGCTGATTTCTAATTTGTATCTTCTACAGTGTCCTCTATAATATGTGGGTAGATAATGTATTTTTTCTCGAGTTCTGTAAGCTTCTCTAGCTAACTGAACCAAAGGAGAAGGATATTGGGAAACCCTGATTTCTAGCTGGTTCGTTCAGAAGCACAGGTCATACATAGCCTGGTACTTGTTATTAACATTTGACTGCAGACAGTCCAGTGATACCAAGCCCTTATGTTGTGACTTTTGGGGTGAACTTATGGTAGTATCAGGGTTCAGTTATGTGATACCCAAATGGTGTTTGATGGAGAACTAATTATTGATAAGGAGAACCATCCAATCATTTCAGATATTTTGTATTGTATGAATAAAACAATTTAGTTTATTTTATCCTTGGGGGCTCTTCATGATTATTGCTGACTCAATTATTTTACTCATTTAATTCTTTTTACTGTTAACTTTTTTTTACTATTTTTAAAAACTCATATGTACATATATTATTAAAAAGTATCAAATAGCTAATATTTAACATGTATTTTTCATATTTTGCTTGAGATTTCTCTGTGCTCTGAATAATACACTCAGATGTTCAATAAATATTTCACAACATTACAGATGATGATAATGATGAACTGTAAATCACCATTACCTGTGTTTCCTGTGTCACTTGTTTATTTTCCTTTACTCTGCAGGCATATTTAGAGAAGAACAGAAATGTATCTTCCGAGCCATGATTCAAGGCTTCATCTGCAAGCAGACTGATCAAGTGGTCCTAATTCTTGATAATCTTGATGTCACTTGGGCAATCCTGAAGTCATATCCAGTTGTCTCTGTGACTAATGGCTTTGTTGACACATTTAGCAGTGGGACGGACAATGGTCTCTGCTCTACCTCTTCCTCTCTGTCTACATTCTATTCCATTTTACCCACCAGACAAATTACTAAAGTCTGCTTTGTGGATCAAACTCCTCCATTTTTGCGCTTTTTCCTACTGGGGAACAGCAGAGTCTCCAAGCTTGTTTTGTCCATCTTCTACCATGAGATTCAGAACCCTCACGTTTTCTTAGGGAAAAGCTTCATTCCACCCACTCTAGTACAGTCAGCTTCTTCAATGCTGAATGAGCCTGCTGGTGCCAACTACTTTGACATCATGAATAACCTTTTGTATGTTGTCCTGCAAGGAGAGGAGCCTGTTGAAATACACACAAGGGTTTCCGTTCATTTGGCTTTTACAGTGACATTTTTGGTCCAAGAGAAAGGCTGGGAAAGAGTGATGCTTGAAAGCTTAACAAGCTTCTTACAGATTGAGCAAAACCAAGTCAGATTTACTCATGAGATGCCTGGCAATGAAGAGACCTTACAGACCATTGCAGACAGTGGAGCAAAAAGAAAGCTCAATTGCCCAACTGTTACATGTGGCAGTCCTTACAGAAGATTTGGTCAGCGCAGACCTCTTATGGTAGAAATGAGATCGTATAGGGTCACACCACCAACCACTGTGGAAACCATGTCCAAAGTGATTGTCATTGAAATTGGTGATCTGCCCACTATAAGGAACACTGGACAGATTCCATCCTTACCAAGTAAAAAACTGCAGAATTTGGCTCATCAAGTCATCACTGCTCAACAAACTGGAGTACTGGAAAAGGTTCTCAATATGACTGTTGGGGCCCTACTGGTGACTCAGTCAGAGGGAGTAACAGGCTACAAGTAAGTACTAGTTATAATAATATCTGAATGAAGGATGATTTTTTTGAGTCCATGTTGAAATATATTGCAAGACTCAATATACTTACTCCTTATAATCATCTCCAAAGGATACTGAAATATGTTCCACCAGAACTGAAATGAAAGCAAAGCAGAAAAATGTACATTAATATTGAAGGCAAATTCAACTAATACATTTATTGAATTTTATGCAGAGTAACCATGCATACGGAATCTTAATTAATATTTTATGGCATATTTCCTTTTAACAATAAAGATGAGTGTATTGGTTTTCCTTGATAGACATTAATATCTCTCCTAGATGAAAAGAAAAATTCAAACAATTATTTTTCTAGATCAGCTCTATTTGAAGGGTCTTGGCAATCATTACTATAGCATAAAAAACAATTACTGATGTCCTTTGCTCATTATCTTTAGAACTTGATTATTTTTGCAAAACACAAAACTTTACCTTATTAATGAAATTTTCTATAGTAATATGAGTATCGGTGGTGCTAATACATCTTAGTTTTACTTAAATTATTTTAGTGTAATTTCATTTAGGCTTCACAGAAATTTTGTAGATGTGTTTTATATGTTTACCTTGAGATAAAAAGTTTTGTTTAATGCTTTATCGTATTTTGATCACCATTTCAAAATATCAAATATTCCAGTGAGTATTCATCCTTTAGTAGGAGATAAAAATCAATGACTAGAATATAAACAATCAAGGTGCATTAGGGGAAATCCTGCAGAGTGGATTGGGAATAAGGAGAGTATATACATGCATATTTGTGGAACACATCATTCTATCATGAGATATGAAATAGCCTATGAAAAATGCTCTTTATGTACCATCTTTTATAATCATCATGTCTTCAGTTTTGACTCAGATATTTCTATTCTAATAAAAAAACAGTGAGAGTGAATACTATGGCATTGATTTTCTGTTGGAATGTGTCATATCCTCCATCTCTCTCTGTTTCCTTGGTATATTAAGAGAGGTTTTCCAGACATAAGTAAAAAAAAATCTTGTGAATATAAAGTAAGTTGCCTCTAAATCACATCTGACAAAATTTCTGCAGAATGAAAAAGAGCATGACCCATAGAATTAAATGAAAATTAGTAAGAATTCCTATGACCCTTAACATTGCACAGTGTGGTAAATAGCCTTGGCCTTAAAGCCATACACAGGCCCCAAGGCCATGTTTGTGTCTTTCAGCTCTGATCAGCATCAGCTGGGATTTCCAGAGAACTCCCTAGAGAGCCATTGAAACTAATGAATTGACCTTGAGACAGCAGAGATGAGTCTAGAGATGCAGCTCCTTCATGGAAAACACTAAGGAAGTTGTCCAGAAGATGTACTCCAGAAAGGCCTCTTTAAAAAAAATGTTTTTATTAAATTTTATTGTATTTCATACAGAATATTTCAAACAATCTGAATCATCTTTATAGCCCCATCCCATAGCCCCATACCCTCTCATAGCCCCTCCACTGGAACCCATATACTCTGTCCTGGGTGTTAAGGCCCACTGTGTCGAGTCAGTGTCCCCAGACCTTCCCCAGTGCAAGTCCATCCACTTGTGGTTTAGTCAGAGCCTTCTCATCTATCTATCCAAACACCTATCATTTTCTTTTCTTTTCTTTTCCACATTCAAATATACAGCCTGTGACTTCTTGTCATCTATAGAAAATGGTGAGAGAGGTGCCTCCTGGTATTCTTGGCTTATATATCCTTTGACCCTCCCCAACATGCAGCTAAGGTTGACTGATTGGGTGGGAGGAGTAACTGACTCTCCCCTCGACACCTTGATGAGCGTGGGAAGGTGTGACTATGGCTTGTTGGCATAGTGATCAGAGGACACTTCCAGTTAACACTCTGCCCCTTCCTCTGGCTCTTACATTCTTTCTGCCAACCTCTTCCATAGAAGTCCATGAGCCTTGGAGTGGTGTTTAGTGTGTGATGATCTTCCTCCCATTTTGGCAAGGCATGAACTTTTGGGTCTCTGCATTGTCAGTTTTCCATGCGCTGTTGGTCCATTTCAGTGGGATCCCATTTACTATAAAAACACAAACAGCAAGAAGCAAGAACATCTAAACAGTGGCTGCTATGATAACTTATGGGTGTAAACACAAATGCTTGGACGGTACCTTAGCAGGTGCACTACATTCATCTAACAAAACAATTGCAATGGCCTCCCCACTGGGGCCTATATTCTCCCCTGCCACAGGGGGTTGGTCTGATCTACAGTACCAGATGTGTGTTCCACCCCTAGGAGTGGGCATTTTATCCAATCAAAAATTTGTTGGTTGTACATACACCAGACACTACACTATTGGACCAGCAGGAACATTTTGTTTGGTATGTTGATAGTGCAACATGAGAAGTCCATCATTGAGAAGAATTATAAGGAACAATTCTCTCCCAGTCATCTGCATATCGCTTTTTGGCACTGTGAAAGCCACCCATCCAGTGGCAGGGAGTTTCCAGCTTCGTCCAAGCTTGATTTCTCTCTGTCCTGCACTCACATCATCAAACACTGTCTTCAGCAATAGGGACTCTCCATCCACTTCCAGTGTACGACCGACATTACTGGCAATGTCCTTTATTGTTTTGGAGACCTCGAGGGACCCTCAGGCCAACAGCTCACTGGGGGGCAACCCACTGGGATTTTTATATAACAACCGTATTGCTTCTGGAAGGGCTTTCTTCCATCCCCATAGAGTTCCTTCAGTGCTTATAGCTTTTTTATTTAAACTGTATATCTGGAGAATTTTTCGCCTTTATTCCCATAGTTCTTTGTGTAGCCCTTCTTCCCCACCTCCCTTTTTATGCCTCTTATTATTATTTAATTGTACAGTAAAATTTTCAGGAGAGTACTACTTCCTAAAATATATTTTTATTGAATTTTTGCAATTTTCATAAAATATAGTTTGAAACTATTGAGATGCCCTTCCCTATTTGTACCTCCTCCCACTATCCCCTGCCCAATTTAATGTACACTCATATATATGTATATATGTGTGTATGATGTATGTATGATACAGCCTACAGAGTCCGATTTATGTCCCCAAATGTCCTTCAGTGTGGGTCCATCCACTGGGCCCACCAACTCTCCTATCCTGTAAGACGCTGTCTCTTCCCCTCCCAGAAGCCATCAATAGCTGAATGTTCTTTAGGTTGAGTTGGGATTTCTTACAAACTTCCCCATGGTTATGCTGGAATTTTGTTTGGTTTGAGCTTGCATAGGACTTGTGCATGCTGTCACCATTGCTGTGAGTTTATATGAGTAACTGCCCAGTTGTCTGGAAGACTGTTTCCTTGTGGTCATCCACCTCCCTCTGGCTCTTATAATATTTTTGCCTCTTACTCTGCAATGATGTCTGAGCCTTAGGGGGTAGAAGTTTGAAATAGGTGTCCTATTCAGGGATAAGCACTCTGCAGCCTCTTGTTCTCTGCATATTGGCCAATTGTGGATTTTTGTGTTAATCAACATCTGATGTAGAAGGAAACTTCTGGTGAGAGTTGAGAGATGCAGTCATTCTATGTGTAGAGATTTCATTGAGGATGAATAATGTAGGGTTAAGAGTCTCACAGACACTTTTCTCTGTGTTTAGAGTGTTCTGGAACTCTGTAATAGTATCCAACTGTTGCAAAAAGAATCTTCTTTGAGGAGTGGCGAAAGGTACATTTATCTACAAATATGAGAATATATATTTAGAATAAAGTAAGAAATTACATTGGTCTATGAATATGGCAAAAGTAGATTTTTCTCTAGGATCTATGACCTCTCTAACAATATGTGTTTGGCTATGTTTACAGTACCACACATGAGTTCCCTCCCATTGTGTGGGACTTAATTCCAATTAGGCAGCTGTTGATTACCCAAGATAAATGTGTGTGCCACTACTGCACCAATATCAAGAGTTTTCTGAGGTAGTCATTATTGCTTATTATGTTTTACAGCTGGGTAGAACCATTGATTGGTTTTCTCCCTTGGTGGCTTGTATAGTATCCTCTGATACCATGAGTGCTATTCTTCCAGGTCAGTTCCAGCTCAGCTGCTCCAAGTCCTGTGTCTGAACTATGCCATGTCATCAGCAATAGGGTCTTATCTTCAAGTTCCGGGTGGCAATCAAGGTCTGTGACAAAAGCCTGTGTTATTTGGGGAGTCATTTGGACTAACCTGACCAACAAGACAAAGGGTGGTTTCTCCTGCCTAGCACAGTATTTTTTGTTAAATACTTTTGGGCATATATGTGCTCTCATATATTTATCATATGTGTATTTTTAAGAAGCCAATAGCTTCTTAAAATATTGGGAGAAATAAAGTGACCACTTTGATTTGGGGTATGTGGGACATTCCCCCATTTTGATCCTTATACTCCTCTAATAACATCTGGATTTAAGCTTCCTCTTTTTGATTAGATCAGTTCCATGAACTTATTTTCCCATTTTCAAACTTTTGTTGACATTTGTTTTCATGTGCCATCTCTCTGGCTTTAAATTATTTTTACTCATTTTAAAAAAACATTTTATTTCTTATTTTTATTTTATGTGTATAAGTGTATTGCCTGCATGTAGGTAAGTGTACCCATGTTGTACAATGCCTGCAGAGGACAGAAGAGGCCATCGGATCCCCTGGAACTGGAGTTATGGACAGTAGTTAGCTGCCATGTGGGTGCTGAGATTCGAATCTGGGTCTTCTGTGAGAACAACCAGTGTTTTTAACCATTGAGCCATCTCTCCAGCCCCTCATTTTTATTCTTTAAGTGATTTAATTTTAGCATGTAGAGGGAAAATAGATAAACACATACTCATCATTCCATTTTTAAACTAGAGGTTTACCACCAGAATATTTTTTAATTCTTTTTTTATTTTTATTAATTCATTGCAAATTTCATACACTGAATTTTTATCACACTCATTGCCCTCCTCATCTCCTCTCAGACCCACCTCTCTTTCCTACTCACCGAACTTTTGTATCCTCACTTAAAAAAAA